TGGCTCAGCCCAGCCCTAATTAAAAATATATATATATTCAAGAGCTTCAAACAGCTCCTGATGCCTGCGGGAAAACTTCCAGCAGCGTTCAGTCTCCTTTTCCCTGCTCCGGCCACGGCACTATGCCATCACTGAACACGACACACACACCCCCGCTTTTTCCTCAGCCCTGTGTCCCCCCCTCCCCAAATTTGCTCCCCCCTTTTCAGGGCATTTCCATGAAAACAGGCTCTTTTGTTTCTTCGGATTTCATCTGCCTCCGCTGCCTGTTCCCCACCTCGAGCCTGCGCCTGCCTTTGTCCTTCGCAAATAAAGAACAAAAGGGGAAGAGATGGAGAAAATATGATCTCGCCTCCAAATGGGCTTTTTTTTTTCCCCCAAGTCGTCCGTGAAGCCTTGGATGCTCTTTAAGAGCCCGGCTGATGAATGCGAGGGCATGGGAGCTGCCATTAGGAGTGAATTGATCGGCTCTCGGCAGTGCGCTGCCAGGGCCCTTTGCTTTAAAAACCAAGAAAGGAAGAAAGAATGAGAGTGAAGGGAAAAAAAAGAAAGAAAATACCGAGTGATTGGGAAGAGTTTTCTGTCCCTGTTAATAATAAACACATCCAGCAAATTGCACTCCAACTCCGGAGCAGGTAATCACGATGCAAGGCCTTTCTTCTCTGCTCCAGGGGGGGAGAAACTCAAGTAAACAGGGGAAAAAATCAATTTCTGCTGCGGTTTGTTCCCTGAATAGGGGAATCTCCCAGCGAACGTGTCCTTTCATGTCTCCTATTAACTCTGCCAGCTCCCCACCTCCACCGCACGTCACCTTCCCGCACAAATGCGTTTGCACGGTAAAGAAGGACCCGAGATTCGGGAGAACAAAACAAGGGCTGGGTGGCAGACGCCTGTGCCGGTGCGGTGCCTCCACGCCAGGACTGGCACCGCAGAGCCGGGCTGTGCGGGGGCACAGGAGGCCACGTGGCTCGGGGACACGCTGCTCGGTGTGCGCGTCTGGAGCACGCATGTCGGGCACCGGTGTGCACGGCTCGGGCAGGCATGTCTCAGGCATGTACCACTCGGGCACGCAGCACTCAAGCTGCGTGCATGGCTCCATCTTGCATGTCTCAGCCATGCTCATCTCAGCCATGCATGGCTTGAGCTTGCACGTCTCAGCCACACGTCTCCGCCATGCACGTCTCCGCCATGCACATCTCAGCCATGCACATCTCAGCCATGCACATCTTGAGCTTGCACGTCTCAGCCATGCACGTCTTGAGCTTGCACGTCTCCGCCATGCGCGTCTCTGCCGTGCACATCTCAGCCATGCCTGTCTCAGGCAGGCATGTCTCAAGCTTGCACGTCTCAGCCGCGCTCATCTCAGCCTTGCACCTCTTGGGCATGCACATCTTGGTCTGCCCTTGGGCTCAGCAGCCGTGGGGCGCAGCCGCGAAGCAGGGCTCCTGCAGGCAGCTCCTTGGGGTGCCCAAGGTGGGACCACGCACCTCTGTGGACACATCTCCTGCACGTCTCCTGGCGTGCAGCTAGCCCATCGCGTCCCCGAGGACAAGCGATGCCTCCCACACTCTAACCACCCCTGAGACACAGGAACCGTGGGTTTTCCCTGTTGACTGTCCAGGGCTGGCTCTCCTGCGCGTCCTCGCTGGGCAGGGGGCACATCCGCAGCGCTGCTGCGGGAAGACAGAAGCAAACATCTGGGGGTATCGCGTGGTGTCCACAAGCAGGGGACAGTTGTGTCCCTGGGAAGAGCAAGAGGAGAAGGAAACCACCCGCGTTTTGGGTGAGCAGGGTGCTCCCTGGTCACTGGTGCATGCCGGGGATGGGGAGAAGAGGAGGTGCTCTGCTTCCAGTGGGATGCGCTGGACCCAAGGGTGCAGAATCAGGCCCCGGGGTCCGGGCAGTGGGCACCAGCCGCTGCTGCAGAGACACCCCTGCTCGCTGTCCCGGGGCTGCAGCAAGCACCAGCACAGTCAGGACCAGGTCGGTAGCTCGGAGCTCGCCCTGATGCACAGAGGAGCTGCAGTTCCCCTTCCCACGCAGCCGCTCTCTCCCTCCGCCAGGAAAAATGGTTTGCAACTCCATTAAGGACAGTGTAATTATGCATAATAAAAATACAGCTGCCCTTGTGTGTGTAAACACAGCTTTGACAGCGTACCCTTCCGCACCAGCCCTTCTGGCTCGCTTGGCCCTCGGGCAAGCGCGCGAAGCGAGCTGGCCACCTCCCAAGGAGAGAGCAGGACTCGGGCTGCCGCCACCAGCCGAAGGCCCCTGAGGTCAAGGCGAGCAGCGCTGAGGCACGGAGCCTGCAGCCGATTATCTTCGGCGGCTGGTTAACTTTGAATCAGACCTTTGAGAAGGAGAGAGAGAAAAATCACAACAGCTTTTTCTTCTTTTTTTTTTTTTTTTTTATTTTCTTGTTTTTCCCCCCCCCCCCGCAGCCCCCGGCGCTGCTGCCACTGATAAGGCGATACCATCTAATCGCCGGGTGACACACGCATCTCGCCGGCTGCCAACACGCCGCTTAAACCTGCTGCTGCAAATCAACTCCTGTGGGAGCTGCTGGGGCGTTGCCACCCGCACCGGCTGGGTCCCCGCTGTCCCCAAGGGTGCTGGGGGACATCGCCCCGCCAGGCTCGGTGGGCAGCACCCATGGGTCCCGGCAAGGGGTGCATTTGGGGAGGGGGAGATGGGGTGTGTTGGATGTCGGCGAGGTGCCCGGGGCCAGATCCGGCATTCCGGGTTTCCTCCATGCGGCTCCATCGTCATCCATCTCGCCGGAGCCTCCCAGAGCTGCTGGCAGAGGAGGAGGAGGAGGATGGAGAGGGTGGGAAGGAGGGTGGGAAGGAGGAGGAAGGCTCCTCATCGAGCTGTTCACAAACCCCGTGCCGGGGGGGCGTGCGGTGCCCCGAAGCCACGGGGTTAAACACAACTGCGATCCTGGCACGGCGCTTCCCAAGCAGAACGAGAAAGATTTTTTAATATAAAACTGGTAGCCAGCGGGTGAATTAAGGATGCTAATTGAATTTCATTAGGCAGAGGAGCCGGGCCGGTGGGAGGCAGGGAGGAAGTGTATTTGATGTGTTTTAAAAGCTGCAGTTTCAGAATGTGGTGGGCTTTTTTTTTTTTCTTTTTCTAATTTAAAGCCAGTCGTAAAAAGATCCCGTCTTTGAGGAGCTAATGACTCTCATGAATTATTTTTGTTGATTTATACACCCACTCAGCTTTTAAATAATATTAATAAAGTACAAGTGAATCCGTTCCCAGGCAGGAGCGGGAGCGATGCTGCTCGGGGGGCGCAGGGACCACGGGATGGGGGGGATGGCCACTGCCTGACCCACGCGGCTCCGGCGGTGAAGCCATGCTGCGCTTTGGGCCAAAATCCCGTGATTTTGGAGGCCGCTGCGGCATGCCGGCATTCGCAGCCCCTCACCGGGGCCGGACGGTGCCTCGCTCCCCTTGGCCGAGCATTAGTATTCAGCGTCAGTGCTGTAATGGGCACTTTTCATGCCGGTTTGGTTTTATTATTATGCCAAGAAGCTTGCTTAATTCTCTGCTGTCTTTCTTCTGCACTGTTGATTTACACTGTTAGTGTTTTAATTATACAATTCAGCACTCCTTAAAACATGAAAAACTGCTCAACTTTTGAAGCAATTAAAAGGCAGCAGAGTAGATCAGCCGATCAGAGATGAGATAAGTAAATCAAACAATTAAAAAACTCATTTGGTGGAGGGTGGGGGATCATCCCACCCAACAAGCCGCCCCTCGGTGGGAGCCCCACAGCTCCCGCCCCGGCTGCAGGCTTTGTCCCAGTAACTTGTCTTAGTGTGATACTGGGAGCAACTGGTGGGACTGCCACCGGGTGGGAGTGCTGTGGGATGCAGGGTGATGGGCACGGGGTGATGGTGGGCGTGGGGCGGTGGGCATGGGGCAATGGGCACAGGATGGCACGTAGGAGCCACGGTGGGGACACCGCCTGAGTCCAGGAGCAGCGTCCCTGCAAAACCCCCTCTCCCATCGCAGCGGGACACCCCGAGCGCCCCTTTGGCTGGGAGCAGCGGGGCCGGAGAGGGGCGAGCCCGGGCGCAGGACCTGGGGTGAGCTGTCCCTTCCCCGGTGTCACCCACCACTGCCTTTCTTCCTCCTCCTTGCAACTTTATTCCATCATTCAGGGGAGCTGCCGGCACCTATGGACCCATGTCTCAGGAGTTTTGAGTCTCCGGGACTTATCCACGCTGCTGACACGAGCCACGGCCCCACAACCCTCCGGTCTCCTCGTGGGCACATGAGCATTGCCAACAGCATCCCCCCGCCAGCAGTAATTAAAAGCAGAAGGTAATTCATTATCCATCTCCACAGTCACCATGGCTGCAAGATCAGGAACCAGCAGGTAATTAAACTTTGGCAGCTTTGGCACCCAGCACCGGCTCGGGCCACCCTGGAATGGGTTTCCACGGGGGTTTGCCCCACGCGGGGCCGTGGAGGGGGGACCCACAGCATTGGGGCAGGGGCCCGGGGAAGGGTTTGCTTTGCGAGGCAGCTGTGATGGACGTGCCCAGCCACAGCCCCCCAAAACCGCAGCCCCCGTGGCTGTGGGTGCGCCTGGTCCGATGGATGGGGACGATCACAGACGGGGACACGAGTGACGAGGAACAGAAGCTCATCCTCCGGCTGCAGAGCGAAGGAGCCTCTGCGGGGCTGTAACGCCTCACCCTCCGTTAAACATTGTTGTTTAATAGGCCTGGAACAAAAATCCTGGTTTTTAGTGAGTTACAGCCGTTTCCCAACAGCGCGGCGGTGATGACCCCGCTCCAGCAGCCCCCCCGCCGCAATGCTCCCCACGCTCACGTGAGCTCGCACACGTTCATCGCCATGTGTGCACGGACACCAGGGACCCCATCGGAGCCCATCTTGCCGCAGGGCAGCTGGGGCACCTGCGCTCCCCCCAGCCCCAAATGGCTGCTTGTGGGGGCTGCTCCGCTCCCCCCAGCTCTCTCCCGATGGAAAAAATCCTTCTGCACCCACCCGGTGGGAGGGACGGACCCAGGGACCCAGGCTGGGAAGCCTCTCCTGGCACCCCGCAGGCAGCTGGGCAGGAACGGGGAGCGGGGTCAAGCCGGAGCCCTCGGCCGTGCTGTGCCGGGAACCCCTGGGGACGGCCCCGGCCGAGGCAGGGACCCTCCCCACGGGCACGGGAATGGGAACGTGCGATTTATGGGCTTGAATTTCCCCCAGTTCTTGCTTCCGTCCCTGCAGCCACGTCAGGCGTTTGTCTTCCCCGATGGTTTATTCCCTTTTAATTTGAACCATCCATCAGGCGGTGCCGGTGCTGGACCGGGGTGCTGGACCAGGGTGCCGGACCGGGGTGCTGGACCAGGGTGCCAGGTCAGGGTGCCACATCAGCCGCACGGGAGACGCCAGCTCCATCAATTCCCTCTCTCCGCCCCAGGAAGGCCCGACCCAGACGAGCTGGCCTGCTACCCCCCAGCCCCTCCTCACCCGGGGGTCTCAGCCTGACCAGGCCGGGGGGCTGCGGCGCTCACGGCCAGCACAGGGCACACGGTGTCATGTCGCCGGAGCCGGCGCAGGGCGGGTGACCCCCCCAAAAGCACCTCCAGCGTGGGACTTTGGGGCAGAGCTGGCCAAGGGGAGGGCACGCAGCCCCCTGTCCCCACCGTCCCCGCTGCACCCCATGACCCCGCTGTCCCCACTGACCCCAGCCAAGCACTGAAGCATCCACAAACCAGCGCTGCTGAGCACCCCAGCATCCCCAAACGCTGGTCCTGCCCCGCGTGGGGCTCAGCAGGATGGGGACGGGGCCAGAGGGACCGAGAAGTTGCAGGGACAGGGACAGGATGGGGTCCCTCGCCCCCGCCACCCGCCCCCAAGGATTCTTGCAGGGCTTTGGGGTGGTTTCGGGGTTTTGAGCGTGGCTGAAGCTCTCTCTTGTGGCAAAGCTGCTCCATTACAGCCCCACGCGAAGCGTCGAGCTCCAGCATCTCTCGGGCGGCCCTGGCTCCAGCCCTGCGCCTGGGTCCCCCGAGAGATGCTGGGGCTCGGGAGGCTGCAAACAGCCCTCCCGTGCGGCCGTGCTGCTCCTTAGCGGCTGTGCACGGAGGGACGGGGTGCACGGAGGCCGGGAGCGCCCGGTGCTCCCTGCATACTCTCCGGTTACCCGTGCAGCGGCGGGTGAGACCCCCCCCGCCCATCGCACGAGGCGCGCCCGCCCATGGCGATG